TATCAACATGAATAGCCTCCCCTGATGTGAAAGCTACCTTGGGCATGATGTCGAAAACAAATGACATGGCAATAGCAATATGTGAAGTCATGTCAGTCCTTCAACCATATCCCCAAGAACATATAACTGTATTTTGAGATAGTAGGTATCAATAGGAAGGCACAGAATTAATTGCCTTTTCTGATGTGAAAGACAACTTGTGCATCATGTCAAAAACTAATGCTGCAGCAATGGCAATATGTGAGATCATGTCAATCCTTCAACCATATCCCCAATACCCTACACATAGTCAAGGACACTATAAACTAAAGTGAACTACAAACTTTTGTAGTCCCAAAAAGCGGACACTACAAACTTTTGTAGTGAAAAAGCGCACACCCTACAAACTTTTGTAGTCTCAAAAAGCAGACACTTTAAACTTTTGTAGTGAAAAAGCGCACACCCTACAAACTTTTGTAATGAAAAAGCACACAATACAAACTTTTGTAGTCTCAACAAGTGGACACTTTAAGCTTTTGTAGTCTACTGCAACATACCCCAGCCATTTCTCCATCAAATATGTGCCATGAATGGGATGGATGGGTCAGGCTGACTTTGGATGACCTTTTAACCCTAACTCTAACTTTATAGTCTAAGTCTGACTTTTGTAGTCTTTTGTAGTCTGTCAGTAAACTTTGTAGTCTAGGTCCAACCTGTAGTCTTTTGTAGTTTGTCAGTAAACTTTGTAGTCTAAGTCTGACTTTTGTAGTCTTTTGTAGTTTGTCAGTAAACTTTGTAATCTAAGTCCAACTTCTGCAGTCTTTTGTAGTTTGCCAGTAAACTTTGTAGTCTATGTCTAACTTTTTGTGTTGTAGTCTTTTGTAGTTTGTCAGTAAACTCTGTAGTCTAAGTCCAACTTTTTGTGATATCTTGTAGTCTATTAGTAGACTTTGTAGTCTGTCAGTGTCAGTTTCCCTTTTAAGGCATGCACCTTCCTTTTTTGGTCATTTTTCCCACGATACAATAATTGTAGCCCTTTCTTTTAGCTTTCTAAATGTGTTGAAAT